CCTTACAGCGTAACATATGAATCTCAACTTCCAAAGTACCACAAAATCAAGTTTTTCATAGAATACATTTCAGTGCCAATTCCGGCGGCGCATGCAACATTAGCCAACATTCCGCTCTGGCGCCAAGCATTTCTCAGCTAATACAAAACAGATGCAATCAAATGCATCAAAGCAAGTGGACTAATGTAATAGTAGTCTTGTAATAAACTCGCAAGTGTAACAGAATAAATGTTGTATAATTTTTCTTTTATAATGTGCTAATAATTATAGTGCTAATTATAGCTTTATAATTATAGCGCTATCTAGCGGTGAAAATTTGAATTAAAATTTATTCTTAGCCCAGAAAAATTCTTTTTGAAGATCTTTAGGTGCAAATTATTTTTTTTTATATGGTTTTTTGGAAAGTGTCCAAGATGCTTTACAAAACACAATTTATTTTTCTTTAGCAGAAATATGATATTTGGCATGAGGAGGAAAACAAACAGTAAAACTTTTTAAAAAAAACTGTAATCAGCCGTTCGGTTCACTCTTGAAAGGAAATCTGTTAATTCCTTGCCTTTGTTCTGATTCTGCACAATAAATTTAATTCCAGGAAGAGCACATTTTCCATTTGTTTATGAGCCCACCAGCGGCTGAACAGTTTAAGTTGCTGAACACTGGTAGTTTATTTCGAGGTTCTAATTCCGCAAACAAGCTGGCTGCCTGGGTGCTTTCGTGGTTTTCCCCATGTGCAACCTGTATATGAGCAAGTTTCCCTTAGAAAGTCCTCCGTGAAGGCATCCCTTCCCTTAGGCAGTGCTTTGCCATAATCAAATCAATCAATCAATCAATCAAACAAACCATTTGTTTATAAACGCTTTCAAAAGTCTTTTTTTTTTTTTTTAAATCATCATCATAGTCTCTTTTTCTTACGTGTTTTGTACCATTTCTTTTCCTCAGTATCCTGTGTGTCATATTTGGTAAATAGAATTTAATAGTGTTTGCTTATAGTATTTATTGGAACAATTGCATTCAATATAATTTTTGTTTTCATTTATATTAAAAATAACAGAAGATTTGGTTTTTAATTGACCGTATACTGGCACATAATAATAAGGAAGTGATTATTGCAAAATCAGCCTGGACATTGAAAAAAAAAAGGGGGGGAGATGGGGATTATAATTAAATGAAATAGATGATTTTTTTTTTTTTTTTTTTTGGGTTTGTCTGTCATGTCTGAATTCTGCATTTATGTCTACTTTTATTAAATGCTTTTTTAATGCTGTGTTTGTGAATATTAACAAATCAGCACATTTATAATTTATTAAATTTTGCTATAATATGTATTTAATAAGTTTTTTAGTTGCATAATGCGAAATTTAATTTTAAGGTGACCGGACAAATTATGTCAATTTGCCACATGTTATCGCCATGGTTGGTTTACCAGCTAGGGGAAAGACCTACATTTCAAAAAAGTTGACGCATTATCTTAATTGGATTGGCATCAAAACAAGAGGTAAATTTTCTTTATTTTTCTGCTATTTCCATACATATGTTTTAGCTGGGTACTGAAATTACATGCGAGCCCAATGCACAAACTGAAAACTGATGGACCAGAATATTTTTATAAAATAAAAAATGTTTTAAATACATTTTCACATGCTAAATATTTATCAAAACATATATATACAATATTAATATAACAAAGGGAAAAAATTAAAATTTTCTATCCGAAGTCTAATACCCATAAGACATTTTTGTTGGTTGTTCTTTGGAATTCAAATATATTGATAGTTAAATATTAGACTAGCATTTCTTAATAATTCTTAATTTCTTAACAATTCTTAGACTAACATTTCTTTCAAATAATTCCAAAATTTTTAGTTAATCATTAAATAACTTACTTAAATTTAAACTAAAATAAAGTCTTAAGTTTTTGGAGAAAATTTATGCAGTAGGACAAAACTTCAGAATAAATATTAATACCTATATAAAAAAAGAAAAATTGAATATATCTTATATATTCAATTTTTCTTTTTTGACATATAAATAAAAATACATTCTCTGACTCATAAGTAAAAATCTATATGTAAATAATCATGAACTTCTTAATTTCTTTCTACAACTGGGCACTTGATGTCATTTCTATTCTGACAAAGTTTGTAGCCATGGAGAAAAAAATTACTAGAAATTATATTCATCATGGATTATAGATGCTCATTGGTCAATTGGGTTCTTATTAATTTTCAGCCGTGAAACAAAAAGCTGTTCACATATGAATTATTTTCATACAAAGCAATTATTCTTGGTGCTGAAATTCATAACCAAGCTTATTTATTTTTTGACATGTACCATTGAAAGTAATAAAATCTGTACCTTCAAACCTTTAAATAAGTTTTATATCACATTGTAAATTAGCTCCATATATTGGTTTTCTGGTGTGTTATTCTTTCTGTTGTGTCCATTTTAAATGGAAATGAAAGTAATATAAACTCTAACTTCAATTAACTAAAATCTTGCAATCCCTGTGACAAATACATAATTGAAATGCCTTCTCAGGCTAGATAAAAGTGCTTTGAGGTCCATATGCGTCTTGTGGGCCACCAGTTTTGGCCAATTATAACTTGTGCACCTGAAAAAAACATGATCTCCAAAGGCTTACTGAAGCTTTGCATAAGTTTCTGTTTCACTGTGCTGAAAACCTGAAGCAAATTCTGATAACAAACTGCTCAATTGATGGCACTCATTTTCAGAATGCAGTAGAAGAAAGTTTTCGAAAACAAATACTACTGGTAATTGTGCAATTCTATGCAGTTCAAACTCATACTGGTTGTGCATCGAACGTTCCCTAACCTTTTCCTCCAGATGGGAAGTCCACAGTGTTGCTAAATTAAAATTTTAGTTCATTTATACACTTCTAAGTATACTAGTTTTCAAAAGTAAGAGAATTTTTATATTTGGTTGAATATCTCTAGAATTGATGGATCAGTTTTAATGATGTATTGATATAGGTAGATTAACCCCACCACTAAAAAAACCTTTTCAGATATGATACATGCATGGTCATGCTTAAGGCTCATCAGCACAAGAGAATCTCGAACAAATATTGTGAGATTAAACATTCAGGTCTAGGAGTTTTCAGATAGATTAAGAGAATTTCATTTGCGTTCTGGATATATTCTGTATAAGATTTTGGGTTTGAAGATCTGATTAACCAATCCGTATGGTTAATATTCTCACCTTCAATTTAGATCCATGAGGTGCTTATAAAATAATATTTACCCATAAATATTAGCTACCTTGATCATGTGGATCAGTGCCAAGTCCAGGGGGTGGGTGCTGTGAGGCTGCAGCCTTTCTCAAAACTAACCAGAATTCTTTACTATTTTAAATCATTGACTGCACTTTTCTGTTCTTTATCTCCCTTTTTCTTTAAAAAAAAGGGGGACTGGCAATATTTTCTATCTTGACAAAGGATCAAATTTTCCTGCTTTTGTAGTCATTCCATTCATACTTCTAGCCTTGACGTGACTGAAAATGTTTTATGGCTGTTATTTCATTATATTTTTATTAAATTATCAAACGTATTGTAATGGTCTTTGTAATTCAATAATATAGTAGAATTTGGAAACGTCTTTATGATACAAAATTTTTTACCTCAGCCCCCTCACAAAAATCCTGGATTTGCAACCGATGTAAATATAGATGTAAAAGCAATGCTATGTTCTTGACTATTTTCGATTAAGGTATTATACTAAGTAATACTAACAGAATGCTGTTGTCAGTATATTTGCTTACTTTTTCAAATGTTTTTTGTAGCATTGATAAATATCTTTTATAATTTTAGTTTTTAATGTTGGAGAATATCGCCGGTTAGCAACAGAAGCATACAGAAGTCATGATTTCTTCCGTCCTGATAATAAGGAAGCTATGGCCATTCGAAAGTAATATTAAATTCTGTAACCTTTTTTTCGTAAACAATTTCAAAATTTTAGAAAATTTATGCAGTTTTGATTGTTTAAAATTTTTACTCTGATTCACAGTAAATGTGCATTGGATGCTTTGGAAGATGTCTGCAAGTGGCTAGAAAGTGAAGGCGAAGTTGCAGTATGATATTTTGTATTTGACCATTTTTTTTAATGTTTTTATATTTTATATGATAACTTGTCACTTTTATAGCATAGTTATTTAACTATCAACTTTAAGAAGTAATAAAATTTGTTTATAATTTAGTATTAAGTTCTTAAAAATGTTTCAACAAAAAGGTAAAGTTCAAGAACTTATGGTCAGTTCGATTTGAGAAGTCTAATTTTATAATGGAAAACGTACTGCAACAGAATAAATAAAAATTTGTGTTATAAGCAGAAAAATTAGAAAACAGATTTAATTATTTTGTTTAAATTTCATTTATATATTAAATCCATAGTAGTTGTACTGAAAGCCTGTATAGTCAGTTTATGAGAACATAATCATTGTTTACATGTGCTGTTAAAAATTAAACCATTGTACTTGGTTAAATTTGTGTGTGCTTCATATTATGCAATTACAAAAATTAAAATTTCTTAGTTTTATGCTTTCGAAGCTGTAGAAATATTTGAAAAATTTTTGTATTTCTCTTTTGAAATTAAATGGGAAAAACGTTTCCCCACCCTTTTTTTCTATGAAAAGATTCTTCTAGCTGTTTATTCTGCATGGAATTTTTTTTCTCTGAATATATTTAAAGTTAATTAATCTATGTGTTAAGGCATATAATTTGTGTAAATCCTCTTTTGTTTGGCTGTAATAACTTGAATTTGATTTACCATTTATGTGAATTTTTTGCATGCCTTTTTGTAATAAATATGCTAAACTTTAAATTCTTTAAAATATATTTTCCTAGCAATGTATGTTTTTTATTTCATGTGCATTTGCTTTTTCTATATAATATTTTTTGTATAAAAATTGCATGCATTGTAAATATATAATTTACTAGCAGCTTCGCTGCCAGCCTTCATCTGGCTTTTAAATGTACCGGAAAAATGGCTGAAGGGAACACACCAAACATTAAATTTAAAAACTGCATAGAATTTTACTCTGCAGAACCACTTCATAAAAAAAGTTATTATGTATAACAAATACAATGAAGAATATCCCTAATTATATTAATTATCTAATAAATAAATTAACCATAAAACAGTTTATAAATCATTTTTAAAACAAATGCAAAATTATATTTTAAATTTAACAGCCATAAAAATGTTTAAAACATTAGATTAAATTTATAGATATTAATAAAACCAATTACTTAAGTAAGTGACGTTATGATTACATCATCTGCACAAAATTATATAAAATACTATAAACAACAAAAAATTTTTATTTTCAAATAAATGAAAATAAAAAATGAAGTTGATTTTTAATATTTAGAAGCTATAAATAATTTTAAACACAGAATTTATGCATAATAAACGCATTATTTTTAAAAAAATGACAAAAAATCGGTTACCATAAATAACTTATCCAGCAATGGGTTACCATAGTCGTATTAACGCCAAAAGAAAATTGCAAAATCCGTGCAACCGTCTTCTACCAAGTAGCACCAAAATTACAAAAAATAAGCTATACCTAATACAACTATTATTATCCTAATAAAAAAATTAACCAACTTTCCGTTGAAGGAAAAAATCATGTCAAAACTTTCATATCTTACAAACATTGAAATAAGCAAAAAATAACATAAAACAAATAAAAAAATACATGAAACTCAAAAACAAAAATTCCGTGCAAATTTTACTCTGCAGAAAACTTTGTAAAAAACATCAATAAAAATGTGTTATATATATAAAAAAAGGCAATAAAATATGCCAATCTCTTAAAAACAGTGCCATAAGAAATACGATGAAAAATTGTTGCCAAACCCATATTTCTAAAGATTGAAACTATTAAAAATGATGTGATTTCATCAAAAATCTATCAACAACAATAAGAAAGGAAAATTGTTGCCTATGATATCTTCGTTCTGAAGTGTTGAGTCATTTAATTCACCTTAGTTGTCTTTTTATTATTTATTGAAAACAATAACAACATTATTGAAACAAATTTGAAATATCATATGCGGCACAGTGCCGGGATTTGCACATCTTACCATATCATCGTTCCTGTGTGTTATAACTATATTTTCCCCCCGCCGCGGAAAAAGCGACATCAGTTTATCCTGTTAGGGATTTTAGTTGGAACATTGCCAAAATCACATTTGTAAAGATGTAAGATGTGAGAAGTGTACTCGGGAGCTTCAATTAAAATTTATATAAATGCAAAATATCATTTTTCCAAAATTCTTTTTGTATAAGCAGTCGCAAGGATGAAAGTTTAACGTGTCCAAAAATCAAAGAAAAATAACGTACTTTTAAACATAAACTTTTTAGAAAAAATCCATTGAAAGGTGTTAAGCTCACTTGTTAAAATTTCGTATTTACTCGATTATTGAAACACGAAATTATTTTAAGTTCGTAAAATAGCTAAAGTGCCTACGTTTCATGACGATGTGAAAATGGAGTGCGTAGAGAAAAAATCTCACTTTCCTATTGTCCATTATGTCTGAAAATGATGCGATTTCGTCACAAAACATAAAATAAAAAAAATTCGAATTCGAATTTCGAAAAAAAATCGCTTCGGGGTGCACTGGCTCTTGTCTAGGTGCAGCTGTGTACCAAATTTCGTAGCCATGTGTCTATTAGCTTACACGCAGCGCGAACGAAAGACACACACACACACGGACTGACTCTTTTATTATATGTAGAGATGATGCATTCTTCTTCTTTTTTTTTTTTTTTTCATGTATGTGAAATCAAGAATAATTTAAGGTGCATTGTATTGTTTTGACAGCTAATTAATTTTATTTGTAGCTAAAAGCATTTATTTCTTCTTTCCCTTCCTCTCCCGAAAAAGGTTTTACATTCATCTTTAGATCTTCAGTTGTTGAAATAGCATTAATTTGATATTTATGAATATTCATTTTATTTACAGAAGATATTCAAAGTATAATTGCTTGATACTCCTTTAAAACAGAAAATTTAAGCATGCATTTAAATGACCAAAGCTGTGGGATTATTTCTCTGGGGGGATATGTTTTCTATATGGTGAAAGTTTCTAACATCTTATATGTTTTTAATAATATTCAGAAGCTATTTGGAAACATCTATGGTACTATAAAAACATTTTAGAAAAGTATTTCAGAGTTAATGGGATTTAAGAAAAGAAAGCTTATAGTTGTATATATTTTAAAAGTAAAAACATTTTATGCTTCTATTTTTAATATATTAATTGCATCACTAAGTATTACATAATTGTCAAAAGTAGATAGAAGACCATTTTAGTCTTTAAAAGAAATTGTTTTATCTCGTAGGTTTATGATGCAACAAATACAACACGGGACAGAAGAAAGCTAATTTATGATTTTGTATGTGAAAAACATGGTTTTAAGTTATTTTTCATCGAATCTGTGTGCAATGATCCAGGTATCATTGAAGTAAACATTAGGGTATGTAAACAGTATTTTTGTATTGTTTTTTGTTCTCATTTGTGAGTGTTTTACCATAAAATCATATTTAATATTGTATCCACAATGCAATTTAGCAACTTACTTTATAATTTAATTATTGAAAAATATCTTTAAATTATTATAAAGTATCTGACATTGGAATGGTAAATTCTAATAAAAATCAATACTATTTATTTAAACAAGGCATAATATATATTATGTATTGTTTAAAGTTTGCATTTAATTATGCATGTTAAAGGGTGGAAGAAAAGTTTGAATTAAAATTTTATTCATGTGAAAGAACTTTTGACATTTATTCAAGCATTGACTAATGACGGCAAGAATGTTGACGTAATAAGATACCATTGCATATACATGCCTATAATGAAAATCTGTTTTTAATATGAACACTTGTAACTTCATAAATTTTTTAAAATGACTAGAGAAAGTAATTGTATTTTGAAAGTTATTCTACATATATATTTATGCGAAAGATAAATATTATAAAAATCAGGATAGAATGAAAAGTTATATGTAAAAGCTTTATTGTACAGCTGATGCACATATGTTTACCAGTAAAAGACAAATTTCATGCTATATTTTGTTCTAAAAAGGTTTTTCTGGTAAATTTCAAGAAGACCTATTCATATTTATTTTGACTGAGCCTTATTTTTTTCTCTCGGAAGTTGAATATTTTGGCTGCATTATGTGCATTTCCTTTTAATCATTTAGAGTTATTTATGACAATTCTTTATATTTAATTGTTCCTTTTCCCCAATAGTTTCTTTTCTCTTTCTTTCCTTTGGGGGTTATTTTAGCTCTGTAAACATTGCCTTTTCAGGATTTCCTTATTTTCCTTTACATTTTGTTTTCCCTTAAAAATCTGATATGAAAAATTAAATAAAAATTTGAGATTGAGCTTGAGATAAAAATTGAGATTAAATAAAAATTTGAAGTTGTTCACATCAACTTCATGGCTAAGCAAGATGGGCTGTTCAAAGGTCATTAAAAAGAAGTTGCTTTCAGTTCATGGTGATATTTAAAAAGCTTTTGAAACTGTAAAACTTTATAACAAAATACTTTTTAGTTTTTGAGTAAAAATGTGCTCACTTTCTGTATTATTCCTATTTTGTTCATAGCAATTCCATCACATGCATAAATTAGTAATTTTTCTTTTTAAGCTTTGTTAAATGAAGTGGGATGAACCAGTTAATTCTTTTACTGCATATTTCAAATATTTTTGATAAAATTATTATGAAAGAAAAGAAATATACAAGTAGAAATGTGAATATGATTTTGAAGTTGCCTTTGTGTAATTATTCCTTATCAAAAATTATTTTGCATAGTTTAAAACTAAAGCAGAAGCATTTTATTTTGGATATTTAAAATAAAAAGTATGAATACAGTTAAGTTTATTTTTAAAATCTTTCATTTAAATTTATCAAAATGCAAGATAAACTGTACTATGTCATTAGCTATTGTATATTTGCAATTATAACATTCATTTGTGCTAAATGATAATTAGCACCTATGCACTTTTTACAGGAAGTTAAAGTTCACAGCCCTGATTATAAAGATAGTGACAAAGAAGAAGCACTGCGTGATTTCATGCAGAGGATAGAACATTATCAGAAAGCTTACCAATCCCTTGATGAGGATTTAGAAAGAGCTTATTCTTTTATGAAGATATTTAATGCTGGAGAGAAAGTCCTGGTGCACAGGCATGAAGGTTATCACTTGTTTCTGTTTTCCTCATGTAGATTTAATAGTTTTTATTTTTTGCATCAATATAGATCCATATTGTCCATTTTTTTTTGTTTGAAAAGCATTTTATATTTTTTAAATTGTGTTTATTGCACTTCTCCCTCTCAATTTGTACTTCCACATGTAAGATTAATGTAAACCAATTTCCCTTAAAAAAATCATATGCAAAGCTTTGCTTGCAGTAGGAAGATAGTCCTTGCTTGCTTTTTCATATGCAGTTTATATATATATGCCTTAGGTATTATTTTTCATTCATTAATTGTTTTAATATTAAAACTTAATAATAATTTTTACATTCAGTTTCTCAATTGGTTTTTCCCTTATCCAAAATACATTTTGTGTTTATTTTTGATGCATTTATGTCAATCCCTCTCTCTCTATATATATATATAAACATTTTATTGACCAATATCATAGTACTAATTAATAATGCAATGTAAAGTATAAAGTATTTAAAGAAATGTGTATTGAAAGTAAATGTTCTATTTGTGACAATTTTGATACTGACTGAACATTTAATATTTTTTGATTTAGTTCTGGTTATAATTTTTTTTATTATTATTTTAAATGACAAATTTCATATTTTGTATTTGGCTCTTTATTAGTCTTGAAAGATGCAATATTAGTTAAATTTTGAAAGTAAATACAAATTTCAACAAAACAAACGCATGGTTTAGTTACTGAGAACATCATCAGATATGTGATAATTCTTTTCTTTTCTCCTTTTATAGTGATTAATAACACTTTTATAATCATAATAATCCATGTGACCCTTATAACTAAGCCATACATTTCTTTTGTTACATTTTTATTTGATTTTTTTTCTTTCTTTCTTTTCTTTTCTTTCTTTCTTTCTTTCTTTCTTTTTTTTTTTTTTGCTAGGTCAAATGTTTTTTGTGTATTTTCAGGTCACATCCAGAGTCGAGTTGTATATTACTTGATGAACATCCATATTCTTCCACGTTCCATTTATTTAACCCGGGTATGTGTTTTTAAATTATTGAAAAAAAAAATGTACAGATATATACTTACTATCTTTATTCTTAGAAGTGCATGATTCCACATCTGCATTGTGTTTATCTTAAATTTTTTAATGGTTTATAAATCATGAATTTGTGATGTCACAGTTTGAACCACAATTTATGTAACTTTGTTGCATGTTCACTGTGTCAATTCTGTCAAAAACTTCTTGTGGAGAAAGAAAGGGAAAACTATAAGCAGTGAAAATGGAGGCACATGTCATGGCTTTTAGAAGACTTCAATTTTTTATGAAATGATATTGTTAAACTGAGAAAACTGATTGTTGAATTCATGAAAATTTGATACTAGTTTTGCTTTACATTTTGTAAGTCAGTGATATCATTAAACTGAATATCAGTAATTCAAATTTGACTGTTATTTTTATTTTAGGCAATGTAATTTGAGAAAGCAAGTTATATTTCATTCCATTATCATATTTAACTCTAATTTTTCTCATTATTACGTAACATTTTAAATGGATATTTAAGTATAACTGCAGATGTAAGTGCTTGATGCAGTAATCATCATTCCTTACTAATGCCTGATACTGAATGCATTAACATTTTTTTCCTCTATCAATAAAATACTGAGATATTCAGAATAAATTCAAACATTAAAATGTTATTTAAGAATGCATTCACCCATTAAAATGTCATTTAAAATGTTCTATATTATAGCATTTGAATTTTTTTAACTACGGCATTAAATTACTACATGTTAAAACAAATTATTAGATCTTAAAATAAAAGTATTGTACAAGATATGCTCTTGTACAATCAATATATTTGCTTTTACATGAGTTTTCTGCCTAAGGACCGGTATTCTTTTCATAACTACACTATTTATTGTTAATTTAATCACGCGTACTGATTTTAGAGATTGCATTCTATTCTTAAATAAGAATTGAATTTTCAAGTTGCTATAATAATAGTGTTCTGTTTCCCATTCATCTTCCCCCCCTCCCCCCCTTGGAATTCGAGTAGAAAAATTGACATGAATTATTTTAATCGATGAGCACTGAAAAATTATCTAAATCTCAGTATTTCTTTCTTGCCATCATTATAAACTTAATTTATATATATTTGAATGATTGTAGTTTGACTGTTGATGATTATCTTATTTGGATATAAAGTTAGTTTATTTTCCCACTTCAAATATATACAGATCTTGCAGGTCTGAGTTTGCATATATGCTAATTGTAGTCTGAAGATCAGAATTAGTTTTTTTTAAACAAATATTCAGTGTAAATTAAGGAATGAATGTTTATTTTCCTTCTGGTGGAAATCGTGTTTTTTTTAATGAGACATCCCATTGTATAATGGTTAACATTAGTTATTGTAATAAATAATTTTTGTATATACATTGCTCGACATTGAAAATGCAACACCAAGAAGGAGTGGTCAGAAAGTGATGGAATTTGGAAAAAAGACAGAAACAGCAAGCAGCAATAAGTGACCTTTATTTCAAAAATGATTGTCAGAATACAAAGTGAGAACGGCATCAGCTCAGCAGAATGTAGGACCAACGCAGACAGTGATGCATGAAGAAACACGTCTAGGCAATAAGAGTGTGGATGGTGTCCTGAGGGATGCCTCTCCATTCCCTTTCAACCATTTGCCACAGTTAGTCTTCTGAACGAGGCAGGGGCAGAGTCTGCAAACGGTCCAATCGCATCCCACACACATTCATGTTCGATTGGTGACAGGTCAGGAGAGTACGGGGGCCAGGGAAGCGTCTGTGTATACCTTGCAAAGCATGTTGGCAGATGCAAGCACTGTGTGGTCAGGCATTATCCTGCTGAAAAATTGCATTGGTCAGCCCCTGAAGGTAGGGGATTGTCATCGGCCGCAGTACGTTATCCAAGTATCGTTGGGCCGTCATAGTGCCCTGAATACGAACTAGAGATGACCTGGAATCGTACGCAATAGCGCCCCAAACCATTATGCCACGTTGTTGCATGGTGGGGCGTTCCACAGTGCCCTGAATACGAACTAGAGATGACCTGGAATCGTACGCAATAGCGCCCCAAACCATTATGCCACGTTGTTGCATGGTGGGGCGTTCCACAGTTACTGCCGGATTAGCTCTGTCTCCGTGTTGACGCCACACACGTATGCAGCGACTGTCACTGGATAAACAGAAGCGTGACTCATCTGAGAACATGACGTTTTGCCATTCTGTCATCCACGCTGCTCCAGTCCGGCACCATTCTAAACGTTGCCATCTATGCTGTGGGGTCAATGGCAGTCTTCTTAACGGATGCTGAGAGTGCAGGGCACGTTCAACCAATCGACGGGAAATGGTTCTGTTCGATACGGGAACATCCAGGTATCTTGCACATGCTGCAGAATCGTGGTACAAGTGACTTGCGGGACCACCACAGCTTGTCGGCGAATGCGTCGATCCACGCGTGCTGACGTCACTCTGGCTGCATCTGCACCCCTCCTTCTTCCCACATTTCCTTGTTCCAACCATGTTCGCCATAGCCGATGCACCGTGCTCGCATCCATGTGGGTATAAGCTGCAATTTGACATAAGGACCAACCCGCCCTTCTCAGTCCGATCACCATACCCTTCGTAAAATCGTTTATATGCTGGAAGCTCCTTCGTTGACGGCGGTCTGGCATTCTCTCCTATTTCACGTATCCTCCAGGAAAAAAACAACTTTATTCAATAATTCGTCTGGCAGAAATAACGACACGAATATTGCCCATTCTGCACGTTCCTTCCATTATATCTTACTTCACGTGCGTCGGAAAGCTGCACATTTCACATCATTTGCATAACTCAGTGACGTGCGTCTACTCTAAAATTTGCATAAATTGCGAGCAGTGTGTATAAATTTTTCATAAGTATTATAATAACGTTTTGCAGTCATTGATGGGAGAAATGTTAACGAAAAGAACTATTTTTAAATATTCAAAATCTAGCTTTCAGTACTCTGTAATCTAGTATTACAATTTTGTTATAAATTTAAGAGATTAACGTACTAACCTTTGCTGATGTCTGTTTCTTTTTCCTGTACTTATGTATTAACACAAGCACCTTGGTGCAATGTGGCATTTTTTTTTTTTTTTTTTTTTTTTTTTTTTTTTTTTTTAAGTTCAAAAGGTGAAAATTAATTATTGGATGCAAGTTGGCAAATTTCTTGACTTTGTTTTTAAAAAATTATCAAATTGTTGATATTTGTTGTAAATTGTTTAACCAATGTATCAAAATTAAAAACACTTTAAAATTTTTAAAATATAAATTTTAACTATTAAATAACGACTATATGATACAATTAAAAAACTAAACATTTTTCGGAAAATCCTTTTTTAAAGTTTTATTACAGTTCTCCATATGTACAGCGATCTGTTGTAGGTAAAAATGCACATAATTCCACTAACTCGACACTGCACTGGCTGTCTGCGAAACAGATGTCATCGTTGTTCCCTTTAGTAATTTATGGCAAAATCTTGGTTTCCTGCTGCAATTTTACTGCCATTTCTTCCATTGCTGGCAAATTCCACAAGCAGTATTTTAAAATTAAATTGAAGGCAAAAAATAGCACAACTTATCTTAAAAACCAATGGAACTTTATATTCAACAAAAAGAATGCATACCAAAATGGGACCATTGCTAGGCTGAAGGATGTTTATGCTCATGGTTGCTAGGTTTTTGGCACATTCTGAAAATTAGGCAATTTCTACTAAGGTGGAATTCAGTTTTCACATTAGAGAATAAGTTAAGAAAAATGTATCTTTTTAAAGTCCTCAGATGCTGATAATCTATTTCTGTAGACTAATAAGGTTTATATAAAATTCATAGTTAAAAATTACAATTTTTTATAATTCAGTTATAGTAACTCATTAAGGAAAAATGATTGTTGTATTGGCAACTTATGTTTCCCCCTTAATTTCATTTTTGATAGGTAAAATTTCTCTAATATTTGCATCAAGTTTTAAATTTCATACATATTTTACTAAGAACTTTTTTGCATGAAATACATAGCTAACTTGTAAAATGTAGATTACTTTATGATATGGATTACTTAAAAAATTAGAAGTATGCTTCCATTTTGTAAAATCAAATTATTTCTTTCAGCATGGTGAAAGTATATTGAACCTGAAAGGTAGAATAGGTGGTGATGCCGAATTGTCTGACCGAGGATGGGATGTAAGACGTTTTTTCCTGTGTTTCTTTTATATCATGTAATAAACTATTTTGCTGTTGTGAGAAGCATTATAAAGCTAGCTAGCTTTAAAATTTAAAATATGATTGAGCAATCATGTCCTTGTACTTACTCATTCAGTATCTGTAAGTTCAACTATTTACCGTTTGCAGTGGATAGTCACAGTTGTGGAAATGAATAAATAAACCTACTCTTACAAAATTTAAGACAAGTGAAAACAGGCTGTAGCACAGTGAAATACAGCAACATAAACCCACCTAATACTGACTTTGGTAACAGTTGTAAACACGAGCACCTAAGTGTATCTTTTAAATAGATATTAGCGGAACATTCAAGTGATTCATGTAGAGCCTTTTTTTATGTTTTTAAGTTGCTGGCCATCCTCTTACTTTTAGCTTCTGTTGGCTGAAAACCTTGCTGGGTGGATGAGTATGTATGTGATGGCAGGAGGACTTCACATGGCTGGCTGATCCTACTTGCAATATATCCATGTGTTCAGAAAACCAGTTATTTTTATTTCTGTCTCTTCTTTAAACAGTGTGCATATTACCATATAGCTTGTACATTCTCCCAAGTCTTGCTATGTCTCCTTACTATGGCAGGAGGGTTGTCGGTGAGCAGAATGGGTGAAGTTAGTGGAGAGCCTAGCATGAAGACCATTCCAATATGCCCAGCTAAAGCACAGCAGACAAAGATCCTTGTAGGGATTACTTTCTTGGTGATTGTGTATCACAGTCTCGAAACATCAGTGACCTTTCCACTTTTTATCTCTCTTCAGGTTTCACTTCTGCCTTGTAGTTTCCTCTGACGGAGAATGGGCTTATTGCAAAGTGCAGTTTCAACTTTTTGTGTCTGTCTTACCTTAATGAGAAAACCACCTACTTGTTTGTGGTGAATGGAGACCGGTACAACTGGAAAGGAGAATCCTGGTAGTTGAGGGGTGAAACACTGTTCCCAACATGCTGCTTTACCTCTGCTTCAGTCCAACCAGGAGTCACTTACCTGTCCCTACCAGTGTCAATATTCACATAGACATTTATATGTATAATCTGGCTCAAATCTTATCTATATATGATATGCCAACTAAAAACTGTTCTCCCAATCTCGTGGAAATGCAATGTTAGCTAAAATATCGAATATTTTAAGTTCTTAGTTATCTCTGGTAAAATAAAAAATCTATCACCACTCCTATTCCGTAACATATAGCTGGGTAGCCAAAAAGTATAAAAATGCTACGTTCAAGATCTCTGCTGATCGATCAATCCTTTTGCTCAATCCTCTTCTCTCCTAAAAATGACATTCATGGGTGAGCTTCTGTTAGTGTGTCTTCACATTTTTTCAAATGTTCAGAGCTGTCTTTTCAGAAGTAGACCCGATAAGTCTCTGAGGAAGAAATGGCTGAAAGTGGGTCTCGCCAAATCCATAGGGACGGGCAACTTTTAAATGTAAAACATATTATCCTGACATTCTCATCTCCAGAACTAGCAAAGTCCATTAAGGTGTGGGGTACTGGAATTGTTCCATCAGACTTTACATGCCAAACGCACTGCATTGTTTTCAGTGTCAGCAGTGCAAAAGCTGCATGCTGCAGAAACTTAGCTTGTGTTTGTTATTCTGTGACTGGTCATAAAAGTCAGGATTGCATTGCTGATCTAGATTGCATAAATTGTCATGCTGACCATCCGTCATACTCCTACCCTAAATAGAAAGAAGTGAAAGAAATACAGTATATTAAGGTTATTAAAAAAATCTATCTTGAAACTAATAAATTGTTTAGTACTGGTCAACCAAGACAAAACTTTTCTTAAGCTGAAGCCACCAAATTTTATCAGACAAGAAGTACTCAAACATCACGTAACATTTAAAAAAAAAAAAACACCTGAACCAAAAATAACTGGCTGGAAAAAATTTTTAAATCCTCCTTCTCCTCCTCCCAAGCAGACAACAGAAAGCTCAGAAATAAAAGTACAAGAAACGGACAGCTGAAAAGAAATTAAATGTGCCATAAACAGAAACCCAAGCTGAAGCTCTGTTGAAGGTATTTTCTCCAAGGCATAGATCTTCCAAAACATGTCTTATTAGATAAAATAAAGAAACAGCATCATACTAATAAACATTCCTAATTGTCATAACTTCCAGCAGGGTCTTATAGTATTAAGTAGCTTATCAATAATTATCAACCTGTTTGTTTTGCAGTACCTGAGGCATTCAAAAATTCAACAATACTATGTAGGTGCTCAATGATGAAAAAGGACAACACTTTTAGCGAACATGCAAGTGGTGGTGTAGGCTTGCTTACCTCCATTAACTGTCAAGTGCCTTTCTCTTGGTTATACCTCTTCAAGCAGTTATTCATGTGAAAATCAGGATACCAGTTTCTGTGTGTAGTGTCCATCTTTTGTCAAATGAGTGTATTGATCAGAAGGATATGGAGGATTTGATTGGCCAGTTACCAGCACCATTTCGTATGGTTGGTGATTTTAATGGCCACAATCGACTGTGGAGTCTAGAGATACAAATCCATATAGAAAGCAAATCAAACAGCTCCTCCATGACCATTATTACTGTATCCTCCATATCCATCCTTAATGCATTAAATGGTTTACATGGACAACCTGCAGTTTTGTCAGGGGACAGACTTGAAATATTTCGAGAGTTAATAGCAAATATCTCTGAATAGAAAAGATAAGATAAATGGTCTCAGGAGAATTGTTTCAGGTTTTCTACCCAAAATACTGTGTGTGCACTTTTTTCGCCAGAAGGTTCCTTATCCTGATCTCGAATTTCATTTGCAGGTCCTGTAGAAAAGGAGGTAAATTCATAGGTCTTATTTTCAGCTTACTTTTCTTTCTCATGTTATCTTACTAAAAAAGAAGTGTTTAAAAATTATGAACATTCACGAAGTCTTGTCAAATACCTCCTGGATATCTGCTCAAAAGACTTTGGATCAGTTATTTATGGACCAGCAAGGCCTTCTTAATCCTCCTGCACTTCGGATCTGCACCGGAGCTTTTAGAACATCTCCAGTAGAAAGCCTGTATGTCAAATGCTATGAGATTTCCCTGCATTTAAAATGGGCACATCTTTGTTTCAAGCATTATTTTAAAATCATGTCACAAATCAAGTATCCTATTCATTTACATTTACTTGATGATTCATGCTCTCATTTGTATTAGACATCTCCATCATGTGTGTAATCATTTGATCTAAGAATAGGCATCTGCTAGAGCAGTACAGTATGTCTAATATCAATACACAGATGGAGAATCCTTTTGAAATTTTACCATGGGAGGACTAGAAATTAATCTTCTTGATATGTCCCTGCATTAGGATAAATCTGGCACTAGTGATCTCATTTACAGCCAGACCCTTTACTCTTGGAACAATGCTGCAGAAATTTCATTATCTACACGTATTCTATGAGTACATTAATGTAGCTGAAAGATCATACTTCTAGCTCACATCCCATCATTACTGGAATTTTGGAGCTCAGTCAGATTCTAAAATATTGGGGATACCAAATTCTCTACTTCTGCTTTTCTGACCATGCTGGCATGAAACAGAATAAATTAATGGATATTACAGCTAAAGTTGCTACTACAGTGTCCAACCGTTTAGTCCCACTGGCAAATATCAGAATGTTGATCAAATGTAACATTTTCAATAAGTGGCAGATGCATTGGGATTATTGAGCAGACAATAAGCTGAGAAGTGTTAAATCCACAATAGAGTGCTGATCATCTCTGCTAAATACGAGGAAAGAAGTACTTTTGAGAATCTGTCACTGTCGACTGACTCATAAGTATCATCTAACAGTCGAGAGAGATTCACTTTTTGTACGTTGCTGGAATGTCAGTCTTTTAAATTTTTTTGCCTAAGGCATTTAAATTGCTTTAATCTGGTGTTCGTACTGTTTTATTTAATTCCTGGATATTGTCAATTTTCACTTCAACTATCGGTTTGATGCAGATTACATTGTAAGATTTTGCGCCAGAAATCATAATACAAACAGCAAATATATATGGCATTTTTTTTTTTTTTTTCCCCCACTTGAAAATTTTGTTAAAACTTGTAAACCTGCTCCCGATTCTGTAACAAATCGAATAAGTGAATGTATGAAATTTGCTGTGGTATGAATTGTGTGGAAATGAAAATGGGAGAGTTAAAAAGTATAGAAAAAATCTAAAGTTGTATATTTATTTTGAGACTTGGTGATAAGATTAAATGAAATTAAATAATAAGTAATATTTAAGACTAAACGAAGGTGGATCAATTATTTTATTATTATTATTATTATTTTTTTTTTACAACGTAACTCAAACTTTGTGCAACAGTGGTCAGTAAAGTTAGCAAAATAAATTGACATTGATTAAGATCTTCACTGTTCACTATGTTTCAAGTGAAAATGTTTTTAAGCATTGTTAAATATTAATAATAAATGCCAAAAATGTAATGATAAAGAGTTTCAAATTTAATGGTAAAGAATAACACGTCGTTCAATAAGTCCCGGGACTAACTAAGAAAACAACACCCATTTCACGAAATTCAAGTTTATTCTTCAGCATATTCACCATCAAGAGCCATGCAATCATTCCAATGCTTTTCTAACTTTTCGATACCATGCTTGTAAAACGATTTGTCCTTGCCCACAAATTATGGTTCAGTGGCAGCAATGACTTCCTGATTCGAGCCAAATTTTTTTTTCCTGGAGCATCTTTTTGAGATCAGGAAACAGCCAGTAGTTGCTGGGGGCTAGATCTGGGGAGTATGTTGAGTGGGGAAGCAGAGTGAAGCCCAACTCCAACTCGTGCAATGTAACCAGTGTTTGTATTGACTTGTGGCATGGCGCATTGTCTTGATGGAAGATGATTTTTCTTCTGTGCGGTCGTTTTTTTGCAATTTCGTCCTTCAGACGCACTAATAACTCGCTGTAATAGACGCTGTTGATAGATTTTCCCTTCCAAGGTAGTCGATATAAATCATA